CATTCCTCCATTGTTGAGCTTCCACGCTCTTTACACTTGGTTTTTATACTTCTACCCATCTTTGACCCATAGTCCTTTAGACCAAAACGTAGAGGGTCACGAGGGCTTCATTTTAATCTGAATGAATCGTGTTTTCATCATTGTAGATTTTTTGACTTTCTACTCATCACTTCAAGAGATAGGGATCTTTGTTCCTCTTCAATACCTCATTTATAGATAGACATGTGGTAAATTTTATTGCATAAAAAGCATGTTCATTATGAATTTTCGAAAAACATGTAAAGGGGATCTAGGGTTTGAATGTTTGGGTTGGAATTGTAAAATTGATGGTTGGTTGGGTTATTTGGAGAGTAGTTTAACATGTTTATGTTGAGAGAAAAAGAAATCCCTAATTTAATAATTTAACCTAATGAATTAAAAAAGGGTAAAGTTGAATAATGTTTGTGTTTTGATCAATTGAGTTGTGTTATTGTGTTGTTAGTACAAAGGGAGAATTAATTTTGGTATTGGAATTTATTTGGATAATCTTGTTAAGTTGAGTTGGGTTATGGCTTGGAATCCATGGACGTGGTCTTATTGAAATGTGAAAATTGGTTTTTGGAAAGAAAAGGATTTGGGCATGTTAACTTGGAAAATAAAAGAGTTGATTTTGAAAAGAGAAAGAAATCATGACGTATTGTAAATTTAGAAATGAGCTTGAAGTTGGATTTTGAAACCGTTGAATATTGTTGTTATTATCATTGTTGTAGGACTTAAGGTCAAGTGAGCATTGGGTCATCGTATTACGTGTGTTTAAATATTTATGCTTCGATGTTTTGTCCTTGGTCATCAGTGGAGGATGACATTGTAATGTTGAATCGATTATGTGTATGTAGTACACTCGAATTATTTATGTTTGTTGAATTATGTGATGGTTGGACATGTGCATGCGCTAAGAATAAGGAGTGCCATTACTTTCCTACTAGTGCCTGGAGAATTGGTTGCGCTGAGAATGTGGAGTGTTAGTACCTTCCAGCTAGTGCCTGGAGAACTTGGCAGAGATACCATTACCTTCTAGCAGGTGTCTGGTAAATTGGCGTAAGTATTGGAAAGGTGTATCCTTGGTTTACCATGCTTGAGGCAGATAGAGTGTTGTTGGGTTTCTCGTTATCATCTCAGTTATATTCATGTGTATCATGCATAGTGGTGATTATTTTGTGAAAGATATTAGTTGTCTTATATGGCTATGTAAGGAGCATTTTATATGTATCGTCATCGTATTTGTTTGGGATGTTGTTATTTGGAAATTGTAATATGGAATTGGGTGTAAGTTCGATAATTGGAGAAAAGTAATTGGATTTCATGGATTTATTTTAAAACACCTATTAATGTCTGGCAAGTTTATAACAAGAAGAAAGAAAAGTGAATGGTTTTTGTTGTTGGATAAGTTGAGTGATTTTGAGAAAAGTATCTATGTAAGTATATCTTCATGTATAAACCGGCACATATGTATATGATATGACATAAAGCATTCATGATCATAGCTATCTATAAGTTGTTATTGTTTAGGATCATGTTGAAATCCCTACTGAGCTTTACGTTCATCCCACGTTGCTAATCCTTTTTCAGGTGAACGTCGAGAAGTGGTTCAAGATCGAGGATCTTCTTTAGCTGTTGGCCACGGGGCCTCTTAACTATTGGTTGAATGCCGTTGTTCTAAAAGGGTTAAACCCTTCTCTTTTATGTACTGATGTAAGCCTACGGGCAATTTATTTTAATTATGTCACATGTTGCATTTATTTTGTATGCGAATGAGAGAATCTTCATTTACTTATCTTTATTAAGACATTGGAACTTCTGTCTGCTATCTCTGAAATTGGTTATAATAATGATTTGATAATATTATCCGAATAATAAAAAGTAGGGCGTTACAAAACCAAAATAAGACTTCGAAGCTTTTGCCGAAGTGAGTAGAGCACAAAAACAAATACACACAACACACCAATTGTTCAACCCCCAAAATTGATTTTTCACACAAAGCACTTAGCTTGTCCACCAAGCACACACCCACTGAAGATGAATAATTAGCTGCTGCACAATACGAAATAAACAACACATAAAGATATTGTTGATTCTTGGGCTTCCCAAACCCTAAAGCCTAGCTACCACCAAACATATTTTAAATATCCATTGGGCCTCCAAAAGTCAAATATAAACCAAATTAAATATTTTTTAATAAACTGATTGGGTCCCATATTCTACTAAGGATGTATACCGAGCAAAGTTGATATCCAAATAACATAAATAATGTGCACTGAGAATTTTAATGGTGTGCAAATAGAATTACCCCTCATTTTGGGTCAAGAGGTCCTTCCAAAAGGTTGATTTAGTGCACAAAATTCATGTTAAAAGCAAGTCTGAAAAGCACAAGGTGTACTTGATAGGTGCCAAAATGTACACATTTAGCCACCTTTAAAATACAATTGTTAGTACTTGAATTATTGTTACTTGATAGTTTTAATGAGTTTGTATATATGAATGAGACTTATGAGATGAAATTGACGTTAATTGGAAGTATTTGAAGCTTGAGAGACATCCAACCCAATTTGAAAGGCTTAGAAGATGTAAATAATTGGATCAAACAATTAAAGTCCAATCCATGAGATTTGAAGAAAGAAAAGTTAGAATTATGTAATCCCACTATAGAAGTCACTTTGTATAGCCTTCAATATTTTAGACATATCTTTCTCGTCTAATATCAGATTGAAGTCATTTAAGCGGAATTGGAAAGATAGCTTAAAGGGATACAATTTTGTGTGAAATAGAAATTTTCTAATTTTGACATTTACCAGATCAAAATAGGCCCAAAAGATAAGCCTAAAAAGTTGAAAATAATTGTATGCAAATTTTCCTTTTATTTTGGGGAATTCTAACCTAGTGGATATTACTTAGAAGGCTTCTAATGTCTATACATAGAAAACCATATTCATTATTAGGGTTGTTCATGATATTAGAAAGAAAATGCTGAGTCTGCGAAGATATGTATGGGTAATGAGCTTTTCTTTTAGTGTTTGAATGAAACTCTAATAAGTAATAATATTTTGAATTTAGTTTTGAAGTTTTTATTATTGATTCAACAGTTGTATAAAATTGAGGATTTTTCATTTTATTAATTTATTTTGAATCTTCCTACTCGGCACATGTTCTTAGTTTTTGTGATTCTAATTGCTTACTTATATAGCGGTTTTCATTGATTTGCTTTTACTCGATTAAGATAGTTTATTCTAGGAGAGACGAGTCGTGTCGTGAGACGATTCATGCCAGTACTGGATAGTCTACACTAATTGTTAAACTGTAAATATTCTCCAGACAATACTGTTGGGACTTGTAGTCACCAACAAATCATAGTTAAATTGAATAATATATCTCTGAATTGATACAATTCACTGATTACAAGATTAGATTCGAAATCCTAGGTATCTTCTATTTGATTGATACCACTTTAATTTTATTGGTTTAAGCCATCTCCAACGGTTCATCAAACCTTGCATCAGATTTGAAATTTGGTGAAAAAGTCACTTTTTGGAGCTCCAGTGGTTACAGCAAATTGGTATCAAATTGAGAAAATATCAAACGTTTCACTAAACTGAGGATGGCTTGCTCCTTTCACCAATTCACTGTGCATAGCCGTTAAAGCAGAAATTTGTGAAAATTTTACACTAAGTGGTCGACCACCAGGTTGACCAATCGATCGACCAGCTCATGCAAAAATTGGCCTGCGAACTGGTTCAAATGGTTCAAAAAAATTTGAACCGGTCGACTCACCAGATGTCCCTTTCTTTTTTGATGCACACTACAGTAACCATAACCATTGGAGCGACGCATATTAGATCAAGAAAATCAACTTTTTTTTACTCAAATTTGGTGAAAATTTTGCTAAACCATTGGAGATGCTCTTAATTAAGCTCATATAAAATTCTCATTTTTTAATTTTGAATTAATTTTTTATGTGAATCAATACCTAAACGTGCCGTTATTTTACAAAATTGAGGTGTAATTTGATTCTTTATTTGTGATCTGCAAAACGTGGTAGTATCTAAAATCAACATTCCAAATTTCCTCAATTAGGGAAAAATTAAAGATTGATGAAAAAGGGAAAGACATGTAATTGATTCTTCATTTAGCTTTACGGCTCAACCTTCTATAAATGATGGTGTCTATAGTCTTATGGAAAATGAGAAATAATATACAAGTTTATTTTTTAAATTTAATGATGTATAAATGATATAATTAGTTGATAATTAAAAAAAATATGAAAAAAAATGTTACCTTTCATATTCTAATTATTTACCACATCACTGAACTTAAAAATTAAATTAAATTTTTTAATTTGAATAACAATGCTCTATGATCTATATACATATAAAGGTTAATTTATGTGAAAATTAACTTTTATGTGCAAATGATAGTGTAAGTATAAAGTCATAACTCAAAAACCTTTTAGCAAAATGGATTAGCTGAGGGGGTTAAAAGATATTTGCTTTGTAATTAGCTTTCGGACAAGGATTTTTCATTTCTCAAATTTTACAATTCTCGTCTCAAAATACGCATAATTATTGAATTATAAAAATCTCAAAATGCAATAATATTAAGATATGATTTAATAAATATAAATATTTTAAGACAAAGAAATTAATAAATCTGAAAACTGAAAATTTCATGCCTAACTCTCATCTACTTTTATCATGGTATTATTACAATTCCAAAGATTTGCTTGGTCAATGATCCACTAGTTTTGTGGTTATGCGATACAACTTTGCATCTCATATTACTTTCCTATTTATTGTAAAAAAAATAAAAAAATAAAAATAAAAAATAAAAAATTTTAAATGAATGAGATGAAATATTATGAAAACTGTCTATTTATAAAACTATTGAATGTTTTCTTCATTTTCAACAAACTCAAGTCCATTAAAAATAAAAATAAAAAAACAACAACAACAACAAAAGGGTAATCCTTCTTTTCCTCCAAAACATTGTTTTCATTTGTGAAACTAAGATAATTAGAACTGAAAACAAAAACAGGAGTTCTCTCAAGAAAATTAACTCTAGCCAAGCCACAAAATTGATACTGAAGCCTTTATCATTCAACCCAATATAATCCAACAAAAAATTTTTCTTCTTTTTTTAATAAAGATTACTTATCAAAGGATTTAAAATGACAAAAATGCCCTCAAATCTGTATTCTCTACCTCAACTCTTGGGGACCAAAAACCTCTTCCTCATCTTTCCAATCTCCTTAGAACTCAATCCAAAGGCCTTCTCCAAAAGCTTTTCTTCGATCTCCGATCCAAAAACCGCATTTGGGATTCTCACCAATCCCGGATTTTGGCTATTAAAACTTCCGAAAATAGTAGCAGTTGAATCTCCAACATTCATTTGAAAATGGACTAGACCTCTTGGAAACACCATTAAATCTCCTTTCTCAATCACCTTAGCAAAAACCCGGTTGGTTGAATCAACAAATCCCGAATAAACCTTCCCTTCTAGCACGAATGCAGTCTCTGTCGCCCTCGGATGGAAATGGGGCACATTGACACCGCCAACACCGAAATCAGCGCGTACAAATGACATGCCTAGTGTGTTTAGCCCTGGGAAGACTGTTGAGGTCACCGGCATGGCTAAAAACCCGGACTTGCCTACTTTTCCCGGGTTTTTTATGCCAGTGAACACGAAGTCTTCCACAGTGGCTGATGATGAGTTTTTGCATGTGGTGGGTGAAAATTCAGTGTTGGGTATGCAAAAATCTTGTACTGGATCGGGGTCAGAGGCCAAGGCTACATGGTTGTGGAGGAGGAAAATAACTAACAAAACTACCATTGTTGGGGTCATAGTGTAGGTCACCACTTTGTTATTTGGATCTAGGATGAGAAATTATAGGGTTTTTAAGGAGTTGGATATGTGCTGAAATGATAGTAAATGCCACTGAAGCTTCAAACTAAAGCTTAGGGGTTATTTGGAAACAAACTTTATTTTTTTTTTTTTAGTGATTCTTTAATTTTTTAATTAAAATAGGAGATGAAAAAGACTAATATATTTTAGATGACTTTTTAATTTTATATTTTTTTTTACGAAAAAATATATAAAAAAAAAACATAGAATAAATGAAAATAAATATTTGACTTTTTAATATTTATTGATTTTTTAATTTTATTAATAACTTTTAATTTTTATATTATAATGTGAAGTTGCCGAACCAAACCTTATTGGTGTGACTGCAAAGACAGGTGCACCAAAAAAACATTTGATTACATACCCTACTGGTTTACTTTAAATATGTTTTTAATTTTAAATATAGTCTTTTTAATAAGTGCCTCTCAGCACAAAGATAAAACAATAAATAAATAACCAAAAAAAAAAAAAAAAAAAAAAAAAAAACACATTTCATCAGTTTCAAAACACTTGCTTTTAACTTTTTTTTTTTATCTATTTCCAAAATATTTTTCACCACAATCTCAATACTAAATAAAATTATCCCAGAAAGACTCCTTACCATTTTCATTTTAGATAAAGTCTCAATATTTCACAACAAATAACATACTTTTGCTTGGGAACAAAGATAGAGGAGGATTAGTTTTAAAAATAGTTTCAGCCATCATAGCTTGTTTGCTTTTGCTGTGTTGTACTGACAAGAGGGGTATAAAGTAAGGGTGATCTGTGTGTGAATGGAAATTGATTATTACTCCCAATATTTCTTGCATCTCAAGACAATTGTAAATAATGGCTACCTGACATATCCCAACTACCGCATATATAAACAAGTAGGGCACTAGTGGAAGTTCAGACATGGGATGCTGATATGATTAAGTCACAGTAATAATTTGTTGCGAGTTTGTGGAGGTTTTTTTTTATAGTATTTTTCGATAATTTGAATCGTATATTGTATAATTCGTCAAGTATATTATTTATACAAAAAATCAAGTTAGTCAGAAATTCATAATCCCATGATCGGATTTAAATTATTTTACAAAAATTATCAAGATAATATCAACCATTTATTTTTTTAAAAACAAATGTGCCCTTGTTATAAAGTTATAGATTTCCAATTAATTTGATTTTTTTGCATAAATAATCTATTCAATAAACTCTACAATATGAACGGTTCACATCATCAAAAAAAATTCAAAAAAAAGCCTCAAACAAACTCACAGCAGAATCACAGCAGCAATCAATTTGGCCACTAGGTGTGTTCCTTTTTAAAAAAAAATTACAAACACAAAAATCGATACAGTAAATTGTAGTGATTTATGTGTAATAAATGAATTGGTTCATTTTAGGCTCCATTGGTTTTATTGGAGACAAGGAGGAAATAGAAAATATGAGCAAAAAATAATAATACTCATTTGGTTTGGAAATTTTAAAAAAAATTTAAAAAAATTAATTCATATTTTTATATTTTTAATAATTTTTTATAAATATTTTAATCATTCTTTTTAATTTTTTAGATCTACTTAATCTTGATATATTTAAAAAGTATAAAATTTGTACAAAAATATTTGAAAAATTCATTGAATAAAATAAAATACGAAAATTTATTAAATTTTCATAATTATTTAGTATTTTGTATTTAGTAAAATTTTTGAATTTTTTTCAACAAATATTATACTTTAGATTAGATATATCTAAAAACTTAAAAAAATTACATAAAATATTTATAAAATAAAATCAATAACAACAAAAAATATGAAAAATAAAAAAATTAATTTAAAAAAAAAATGTAAACCAAAAAAGACTAGGCAAAACCCCCATCTACACAAGATGATGATGATGATGATAAAATTAATTTCCTTTTCTCGTGGTTTGCCCAAGTCTGTTAAAGAAATTGTCATGCAAATTATTCACATGTTTGATTTTAAAAAATTGAGTTTTTTTATTTTTTGTATTTTTTTTATTTTTAGTGAATTTTTTCAATATTTAATGTATTTTTTTATTGGGAAATTTATTGGAAAGTTTTATTTTGGGACCTTCTGTTCCATTTGATCTCATGTTTTAAATGGTTGATTAAGGAGTCCTGACTAGGGGTAGTGTGTGACTAGTAAATCCTTTTTCAAAAATGAATGCGTATTAGTTAGACAGATATACCCTTGCTAGTTAATTGGAGATTTTTTTTTTTTTGAAATGTGTGACATGTATGGTATGATATTTCAATATGACATGTATTAATATGGCACTCTAACGATGGAATACTCCAAAAAAATTAAAAATTCCTTGGTATACTTTTTCTAAATTTGACAACGTGACAGGTACGATGTGACACTCCAAAAAATTTTCTTATCCATAGTGTACTTTTTCCAAATGTGACAATGTGCTAGGTATGATGTAACGCTCCAAAAAAATAAAAACTCCTTAGTATACTTTTTTCAAATGTGACAATGAGGCGAGTATGTTGTGACATTCTAAAAAAATTAAAAACTCCTTACTATACTTTTCCTAAATGTGACATATGACATTCTAACATGGTGGACCCAATTTGATTGAATTACTGCGTGTCTTTACGTCACAGGCCAAAAAACAATTAGTAACGAATTCATGTCCCACACGCGCGTGTTAAAAATAACTAAATTTTAAAAAGGTACTAGTGCGTTTTTCGAACAACGTGACATACAAACACCCCACTACCTTTCTTATACATATCCACGCCACCTGTCCCCCAACTATACTAACAATGGCAAAACAACCAACAAATAATTTAAGGGACCACTCACCTACCAAAAAAAATATTTAGAACCTTATGAATTAGAAGTATACAAAACAAGATTTACTAGTCAATTCCCCTTTTTTATTTTATAAATACACCTAGTCTAAATACATTTAAAAAGTTTAATATTTGTGAAAACAGAATTTTAAAATTCACAAAATGCAAAAAACAAAAAAAAAAATGAAAATTCAATACATTTTCGTGTTTTGTTGTATTCAATGATTCTTTTTTAAAAAAATTCTACAAATTTTTTAATTTTTAAGTATATTAAGATTAAGTGGATCTAAAGATTTATAAAATAAAAATAAAATAAAAAAAGATTAAAACAAGGAAAATTTATCTATAAATCTCATCTTGAGGAATGGTGATCCATTCAGTCCTAAGCATTTTTTTATAGACCAGTTAATCCCATTGATTTTGGAAAGGTAGATTTAATATACTGTTTAAAAATTAGATTTATGGTTATATCCTTATTTCTATTATGTTCTTTCTTCTTCTTCTTCTTCTTTTTTTTTTTTTTTTTTGGTACTAGAAAGGTAAGGTACACAATATATGAGAATCAAATTTGGGATGAATTTTTATAAAAAAAATCTGTTTTATTTGAAAATTATTTCAAAAGGAATCCAAAAATAACTTAAAATATGGGATTCTTCAAAGATTCCAAAATGATGTGAGATTTTTCAAACATTTCAAAATGAGTACAAAAACCTTTTGAAAAATTATGGCTAAATATATAATTTGAAACTGCAATACCCTAATTTTTTATCAGTAAATAAGGAATTTTATTGATGAAACAATGAAAATACCATACATCAATAAAATGAGGATGGATGCACAAGTATCATAGCAAGTAAAATGATCATTTTTTTCAAATATGAAAATGTGGCGGGTATGATGTGACTCTTCAAAAAAAATTAAAAATTCCTTAGTATACTTTTTTCAAACGTGACAATGTGGCGAGTACGATGTGACACTCTAAAAAAATTAAAAACTCCTTAATGTACTTTTCCAAACGTGACATGTAACACTCCAATGTAGCGGGTATGTTGTGACACTCTAAAAAAATTAAAAACTCTTTAGTGTACTTTTTTCAAATGTGACACTCTAACATGGCAGGTATGATGTGACACTAAAATGTGGTAGGCAATAATGTGACACTCCAGCGATGTGACACTCCAAAAAAATTAAAAATTCCGTAGCATACTTTTCTTAAATGTGACAATGTGACGAGTATGATGTGAACTTACTCAAAAAAAATTAAAAAAAAAAAACTCCTTAGTTTATTTTTCCAAATGTGACAACGTGGCAAATATGATGTGACACTTCAAAAAATAAAAACTCCTTAGTGTAGTTTTCTCAAACGTGATAACTTGGCAGATATAATGTGACACTCTAAAAAAAATTAAAAACTCCTTAGTGTACTTTTCTCAAACGTGACAACGTGGCGGGTATAATGTGACACTCCAACAAAAATTAAAAACTTCTTAGTATACTTTTCCCAAACGCGACATGTGACACTCCAACGTGGTGGGTATGATATGACACTCTAAAAAAATTTAAAACTCTTTAGTGTACTTTTCCCAAAAGTGACACTCTAACGTGACGGGTTACTCCAAATTTTTTTCTCATCCATAGTGTACTCTTTCCAAATGTGACAACGTGGTAGATATGATGTGACGCTCCAAAAAAAAAAAAAACTTCTTAGTATACTTTTTTCAAATGTGACAATGAGGCGGGTATATTGTGACACTCTAAAAAAATTAAAAATTCTTACTATACTTTTCCTAAATGTGACATATGACACTCCAACATGGCAGACCCAATTTGATTGAATTACTGCGTGTCTTTACGTCATGGGCCAAAAAATAATTAGTAAGGAATTCACGTCCCACATTGCGCGTGTTAAAAATAACTAAATTTTAAAACGATACTAGTGCGTTTTTCGAACAACGTGACACACAAACACCCCACCACCTTTCTTATACATAACCACGCCACATGTCCCCCAACTATACTAACAATGGCAAAACAACCAACAAATAATTTAAGGGACCACTCACCTACCAAAAAAAATATTTAGGACCTTATGAATTAGAAGTATACAAAACGAGATTTACTAGTCAATTCCCCTTTTTTATTTTATAAATACACCTAGTCTAAATACACTTAAAAAGTTTAATATTTGTGAAAACAGAATTTTAAAATTCACAAAATACAAAAAAAAAAAAAATGAAAATTCAATACATTTTCTTACTTTGTTGTATTCAATGATTCTTTTTTAAAAAAATTCTACAAATTTTTTAATTTTTAAGTATATTAAGATTAAGTGGATCTAAAGATTTATAAAATAAAAATAAAATAAAAAAAGATTAAAACAAGGAAAATTTATCTATAAATCCCATCTTGAGGAATGGTGATCCATTCAGCCCTAAGTATTTTCTTATAGACCAGTTAATCCCATTGATTTTGAAAAGGTAGATTTAATATACTATTTAAAAATTAGATTTATGGTTATACCCTTATTTCTATTATGTTCCTTCTCTTTTCTTTTCTTTTTTTTTTTTTTTCTTTTGTGCTAGAAAGATAAGGTACACAATATATGAGAATCAAATTTGGGACGAATTTTTATAAAAAAATCTGTTTTATTTGAAAAACATTTCAAAAGGAATCCAAAAATGACTTAAAATATAGGATTCTTCAAAGATTCCAAAAGGATGTGAGATTTTTTAAACATTTCAAAATGAGTACAAAAACCTTTTGAAAAGTTTTGGCCAAATATATAATTTCAAACTGTAATACTCTAATTTTTTATCAGTAAAGAAGGAATTTTATTGATGAAAAAATGAAAATACCATACGTCAATAAAATGAGGATGGATGCACAAGTATCATAGCAAGTAAAATGATCCCATCTAGGTTGGCACCATAGAACAAGCCCAATCATCTGCAGCATCACATCAAGTTGGTTAGCAACGAACCAACACAAGAACAAAAACCACGAAAAACATCAACAGCAACAACTACTAACAACAGTAACATCAGCCCAGCCTACAAGCTAGCATCTTGATGATGGTACCAGTAACAACGGCCCAACCATACAAGTCAGCAATAGCCACGGATGCTGATGATATCAGAACCTAAACCATACAAGCCAGGATAGCAATCGAAACAAACCAGCATCATGGTAATAACAAAACCAAAACCACGAATGCCCAGTCACTTGATACATGACCTGATCTGTTACAAGTTTGATACAAACTGATTAATTGAGTAATCTCTTCCCACCAAAATAGACTTCATCCACTTGGCTACTCTAACCTTAATGAGATCACAGAGCTCTTCCATATTAGGTTGTACATTATTGAAGATAACATCATTTTTGTGCTTCCATACCGACCAAAATACTGCTAATTGTAATGCTTTCCAAATCTGCATTTCCCCTTTTTAAAACTTCCATCCATTCCACCACTGAAGCAAGCATTCCACTGTGCCAGGAATGAACCATTACACTCCCCACCATTTGATGATACTAGACCAGATTTTTCAAACAAAGGGACAGTGTAGCATTATGTGATTTAAAGATTCCTCCCCTGTTCTACCGAGAACACAGCTTAGACCCACATTAGAATCAACAACCCTAATCTTTTGCAAAAATTCAAATGTCTTTATTCTCCCTTTCCATACCAACCAAGCAAAAAAATAGAATTTTGGAGAAGCAGCATTGTTCCAGATTAATCTAGATAAGTTTTTTATAGGACCATAACTCAGCTTACACCAATTATAGGCTGCCTTTGCATTGAAAGACCCTAAGTTTCCATCCTTCCATTTGATGTTGTCCAAAGTTTCCAAACAGAGGGCTGGACCAGATCCTAAATCCTCCTTCATAATCCTCAATTCCTCTTCTTCCCATACCCTTAAATTCCTTCGAAACCTAAAAAAACCAATCATCATAGCTGGCTTTTTTATCCACCATCTCTTTCAATGTTACCCCTTTATTGATAGCAATACTAAATAATCTCGGATATTTGACTTTAAGACAACAGCTACCCTTCCATGCATCCTCCCAAAACATAATCCTTTTCCCATTCGCAACTTTGATTTCAATATTCTCCTTAAAAAAATTAAAAAGCCTGGGGTTAGATTGTGCCACTGATAAAATATCACTCCAAATCCTTGAGCAAGGTTTAGAAACCATGAGGAAAGGAGACCATCTTCCACCATCAATTTCACAAAATTAATAACTTCCATAAAGCAGTATCTCAACCTCCACCGCCATTTGGCTAATAAATTTTCATTCACTGTTTTAGTGTTCCTTATCCCCAGTCCTCCAAGTTTTTTACTCACTGAAGCATCCTTCCATTTCACTAGATGTATCATTCTCTTCAGATCAGTGCCTCCCCACAGAAATGCTGATTGTATCTTATTTAGCTCCTTTACAATTCCTTGAGGCATCCTAAATAAGGACATGTAGTAGACTGGAAGGTTGGAAGGCACTGATTTAATTAATGTCACCCTACCAGCAAAAGAGAGCATTCTTCTTTTCCATCCAGCTAATTTATTTTTGAACTTGTCCACCACAGGTTTCCAAGTTTGCTTTCTTCTAGGATTAGCCCCTAAGGGCAAACCTAAGTACTTGAAAGGGAGCTTTTGGCTTGTGCAATTTAATCTTGAAGCAAATTCAACAACTGTATCCTCTTCAATACCCACCCCACTGAAAACACTTTTATGATAGTTAATCTTTAGTCCAGACACGACTTCAAAGAATCTTAGAATCCTCTTCACATTTGTAACCTCCACCTAATTAGCCTCACAAAATAAGATTGTATCATCAGCAAACTGTAAATCAGATAAATTCAGACCTTCAGACCTAATATTAACCCCTCTTATCAGTCCAAGTTCTTTGGCTCTTGATAATAACATGTCAAGACCTTCAGCTGCAATGTTAAACAAAAATGGTGAGATTGGATCCCTTGCCTCAAGCCTTTTTGGGGAACCACTTCCTCAGATGGGGAACCATTAGCAAGAATTAAAATTATAGCTGACATTAAGCATGTCCTCATCCATTCCACCCATTTTGTCTCAAAACCAAACTTCCTCAACATATCAAACAAGTATCCCCAATTTACTATATCATAGGCCTTTTCAAAGTCAAGCTTGAATATTAACCCACTTCTCTTGAAGCTTTTCCACCAATCTACCAAGCCATTTGCAACTAATATCCCATCAGCTATATTCCTGCCACTCAGGAATGCAGATTGGGTTGGGCTAATGATACTTGGTAGCACCATTTTTAATCTGCAGGCTAGGACCTTTGATAGAATCTTGTAAATGGAGTTTATGAGACTGATTGGTCTAAAGTCTTAGATACTGGTTGGATTTTACTTCTTGGGAATTAATGTTACAAAAGAGAAGTTCAATCCCTTTACCAACCTACCATTCTTATGGAACTCAGCCATAAACTTCATTGTGTCATCTTTCATTACCCTCTAACCCTTTTGAATGCAAATCAAATTTAATCCATCTGGCCTAGGTGCTTTATTCCCATCACACTCTTTGATTGTAGCCCACAATTCTGATTCAGAAAAACCCTTTACTAGTAACTCAGCTTGAGAGGGTTCAATGGTTTTAAATACACCACCAATCTTAGGTCTAATAGACCAATTCTCAGCAAATGCCTCACCAAAATACCTAGCAATTTCTTGTTTCGTATCTTCAAGTTTGTTAAAGGTGTTTCCCTTGATTGTGATGGAGTCCATTAGGTTCCTACTCTGTCTCTATGTAGCCATGATGTGGAAATACCTAGTATTCCTGTCACCTTTTAGAACCCAAATCACCCTTGATTTCTACATCCATACCCATTCCTTCATTTTTCTCATCTTCGATATCTCCCATTTGATCTCTCTTCTACTTAATACTTCATGATTTTGCAAGGGTCTAACCTCAGCAGCCAAGTCCAGTGCATGCATTGCATCCTCTGCTTCTTTGAGCTTGAACTCAACATTTCCAAACATTTCATTGTTCCAAACTTTCAATGCTTCTTTCAAGGACTTTAATTTGATCTTTAACCTAAATTCAGCCCATCCATCCACATGAGTGCTCTCCCATACAGAATTTACCTTGTTTATGAAAGTGGGATGAAGAACCCAAGCATTTAGGAACCTAAATGGCCTAGGATCCCAATCCCTATCATCTTCCATTAAGATTAATAGGCAGTGGTCTGATAACAACCTTGATAGACCCCATAGTTTAAATCTAAACCATTCTAACCATTCTGGACTGACTAGGAATCTATCCAATCTACTCCACCTCTCTCCTACCTGTGAGTTGCACCATGTATACTTTCTCTCAATCATTGAAACATCTATTAATTCCAAATTATTAATAAATTCATCAAACTCAATCATCCTCCTATCTCTTCAGGTACATCCTTTTCTTTCAGCCACTATTCTAACTTCATTAAAATCACCCCCGATGCACCAAGGTTTAGGAAACTTAGGTTGTAGATTGGCCAAAGTTTTCCAAAGTTTCTTTCTCATAATTCTATCATTAGGTGCATAAACATTAACTACCACACATTCAATTACAAGATGAATTTTACCTGATAGGATGATGTAATTCTTGTTACTGCAGCAATCAATCAGCTCAAATACCTCAGTTTTCCGCACACAGAGCATTCCACCAGCACTGCCATCAGCACTTACTGCCACGAAATCAACCAAATCTTCAGGCCAAAGAGCTCTGACAACTGCTTTGATATCTCTGTTCTTTTTGTTTCTTGAAATAGGACCATGTCTACCTTTTTTTTGCCTTAAGATCTCTTTTACTTTCCTCATTTTCTCTATCCTACCCAACCCTCTTATATTCCAAGATATTATCTTCATTAAAAAGTTATTATAACGTCTTTTTCTCCTGAGATGCTTCTTCAAGCACCCACTCCTTCCTTCATCTTTAATACCTGTGCCAAATCATTCTGTTCCATTGTGATAATTTTTTTCAATCACCTCTCTTTCCTTACATTCGAAATCTATCCCCAGAGTTTTCCCAATCCGTATTATAGCTATTGCTTCATTTCTTAGATAACTACTTTGTGATAAAGATGATGAGATAGCCTCAGCTGCAGCCTTAAAATAGCTCCTTTGTACAGTCCATGCTTTGGCCACCCCTTGTTTTGCCCCAATCTTCTTCTCCTTTTTGCTATTCTACTCAGACTAGCTTCACCCTTGTTTCTATTTTGCTCAACTTGACTTTTAGAAATCACCCTTTTTTGCTGTAACTCTTTCAGTTTTTGATTTGGTTGCCCATATGTTTCCACGAGGCCTGATACTACCTCTAAAGATGGCTGAGCTACTGTTTGGTGGTTAGTGTTTTGGAGTTCCTCTTTATGTCATTCAATCCTACCGTGATTCTGACCCACGAGTAGTCCTTTGGACTGGGCCTAGTCCAACACCACATTAAAATTAATGCTAGGCCTATGTAAATCATGATTGCTTATACTTTTCATAAGGCCCACTGATGGCCCACTCTCTGTATCCCTTTGACTTCCTATGTTAGTGCTCTAAATTATGACCCTGGGCAAGCCTTCTTCATTTCCCAGACCTGCACCAACTTTTCTTGGTTCTTCCACAACATTGCATGTTTCATTTACTACTATGACAGCAGCTAAACTACTTTTGCTGCCCTCTCTTGCCATGTTGTTCCCTTCTCATTGATCATAAACCACATCATAATTGCCTGCCACTTCATCATCTGATTCATCCATGCCATCATCCTAATCACCCTTCCCACTTTCCTTCTCTGCTACACTGTACTGGTAATTTGATGAGTTATCTTCCCTTTGTTGTTCATGGCACGAACATTGCTCATCAATCACCCTAATTGTACTTACAATACCTTTATTAATAAACTTGATACTCGTATTTATCATTTCCATGTTCTTTGTCAAGATTCTCAGTTTACCACAAGCCAAAGTTGTCATAGACATGGTGTTCACTTCAACCTTTAACAACTCTCTCTATAGTTCCCTAATTTTTCTAAAGTTTATGGTATTCCAAAGATTAAGAGGTATGCCATAGCATCGTAACCATACCTCCCTCTCTTTCTCTAGAACACGTCCATTCCTCCATTCTACCATGGTATCACACCATTTATCAGTCCAGTCCCCAAGTACCTCCCTCATATTCCTTAACGCCTCAATTGATTCGAAAGACAGAACTGCTACTCTACCTCTACCTTCTCGAACTCGTACGTTCTGCAGGTCTTTTTTTACACACTATTTTCTGAAGTCTATAAAGTGATAGTGTTTCTTAATTTTAATTATAACACTTTGGTGTAGCCAACCATTTCCATATTCCTTAGCTATAACTAGTTTTTCAGGGTCTTTGTGTTGCTGCCCACCTCTCACCACCTCTGCAAAGGATGGTCTTCTATTCACCCAGTCCCCAATCCAGCATGTTCTTTTGCTTGCATCTTTTGTTTATCTGTGTTTTGAATTTCTCCATTTTACACTCTTCCAAACTAAGCAATCTTTACTACTAGGGATTTGTTTCTGCACCATACTCCATTTGCCTTCTGGATAGCCACCTTTGCAGAACCTAGATAGCCGTAGCGGACAAAACCAAACCTTGATCTTGTTGCTTTTCTTCTTTTGAATGGAATGAACACATCTTTGACCACACCAAACTTTGTGAATAAGGTATAGAGCCCTTTGGATCCATAGACTCTGGGAGATTATCCACAAAAATTGTTTGTAAGCTCAGGTTGCCCTTACTCCTCCTACGCTTCTAATGGAAGACTGGTATCCAAACTCTTTCATCCCTACTTGCTGCTCCTCGAGACTTCCCTCCTCTCTGCTTCATTTTTTTAGTATGAATAGTGGCGCCTAACTGTAATACTCTAATGTAACACTCAAACGTAACACTTCAAAGTAACACTAAAAAAAAATAAAAATAAAAAAAATAAAAAAATCTTAGTGTAATACCTTAATGTAACACATAAAAAAAACTCTTTATTGTACTTTTTCCAAACATAACACTCCAATATAACACTTCAAAAAAATTCCTTAGTGTAACACTCTAATGTAACACATAAAAAAATTTCTTATTGTAACACTTTAATGTAACACACAAAAAACTCCTTAGAGTATTTTTCCCAAACATAACACTCTAAAAAAATTCCTTAGTGTAACACTCTAATGTAACACACAAAAAAACTTCTTAATGTAGTTTTTTTCCAAATGTAACATTCTAATATAATACTAAAAAACTCCTTAGTGTAACACTCTAGTGGAACACACAAAAACTCCTTAGTGTAACATTCTAATGTAACACACAAAAACTCCTTAGTATACTTTTTTCAAACGTAACACTTCAATATAACACTCCAAAAAATTTCCTTAGTGTAACACTTTAATGTAACACACACACACATACACAAAAAAGAAAAAGAAAAACCTCTTTGGGTACTTTTCCTAAATGTAACGCTCCAATGTAACACACAAAAAAAAATAAATAAATATATAAATAAAAATAAAAATAGAATTTAATGTATTTTTCCTAATACTCTAATTTAACATTAAAAAGAAGGAAAAAAAAAAGAATGTGAGATTCGTCAAACAATTCCAAAAAGAGTACTAATAATCCTTAGTAAGTTTTGGGCAAATGTATAATTTCAAACTGTAAGTGTTACGTTTGGAAAAAGGTACACTAAGGAGTTTTTTTAGTGTTTTTATGTGTTACATTGGAGTGTTACATTTGGGATTATACTGATTGGAGTATTACGTATGGAAAAAGTAGACTAAAGAATTTTTTTTTTTTTTTTTTTTTGTGTGTGTTACGTTGTTATGTTTAGGAAAAGTATACCAAGAAGTTTTTTAGTGTATTATATTGAAGTGTTACGTTATTGGAGTGTTACCTTAAAGTGTTAGGTTTTTGTTCGTAATGTGGAATTTGTTCTAGAATGAGGGAAAATTCAAGGCTTCTATAGCGCAAATTGCCCAAATATGTAATTTTACATTTTGAGAAACGTACTTTAATCCCTAAAAATTAAACCAAAACATGTGAGTGACTATCTTTTTATGTAATTTTCACTTTAATGTGATATTTGGATTTATAAGAAAAAAGACAAGACTAAACAATTCACAAGATTACAATTTGAAATTTATTGGTGTTTTACCCTTAAAACAATTTTAAAATATTAAAAATACAAAATACAAATTAAAAATTTTAAAAATTATTTTTGAAAATTCAAAACCAAAAGAAGATTATTATGATTATTATTATTATTTTATAACTTAGGATATCTCCTGCATAATTGGGCCAAGTGAACTAATCCCTGAATATTCTAGAGTTACTGACTAGATAAATCTCCAATAATCTAATGATTTTAGAAGATCCACCTAGTTCCATATTTTCCTTGTGTAGCTTGCTTTTCGTGCTCCTTTCGAATACGACTGGCCATACAGTTTGGACTCCCGTGGTTTTGAATCTGATTTCACAAGTGCAATGTGAAACAGTAAAAACACAAAAAGAGTCCAAATCCGACAATTCTTTTGGAAAATTGATATTTGAATCAAATGCCAAAAAATGGACTGCTTTGCCAGATTTCAGAGTCGCCACCTAAATATTTTTGAAAAATTTAGGAAACTCGAGATTCGTACCAAAGGTCACTTATCCGTCACCACCAAAGTGTCTCGGCTCGAGAACTTAGGAATGAGAGGGGAAAATCATGAATTGAGCACCCCACTCACCCGATCAAAGATCGGCCTCTACTAATCATGATATGATTTTTTATTTACATTATATGCTCTTATTCCAATTATTAGGCTATCTTTACTAGGTGAGAGCAAACAAGTATAGACTAATTTGCAAAAGTTGGAACATTTGATTTTGTGTTTGTTTGAAAATTGTTTTGAATATGTACCACTTGAAAAAGTGATCTCATATGTACATTCATCAAATATCCCAATTTAAGCAATTAGTCTTCATCCACAGGCATTTGAAACAGGTATATCACTTAAGCACTTAACCTCATGGAAAATATGCTTAATATGGCAACAATCACATGCATGCGGTATGCTAAAGCAATAATTGCTCACCTCGTACTCCAAGGCAAGCCAAAAGAAACAAAAGAGTTAGAAAAAGTACATGATCCTAACTAATGCAATATGACTAATGCAACACAAACAATTATGACTAATGGGCTCAGCTACTAATATGACATTTGAAGCAATTTGATAGCATGCGGTTCAAGTATGTATTCAAAGAGTTTTAAGCAATAACAATGCTTTGTTAGAATGATAAACCAAGCTTTGATACGTGCAAGACATGTGTATGCAAAGCATGGAAAATTGTTAAGAAAACATGATGCTCTATACTACCATCATAAGCGGAGAAATAAAAGGGAGAAAGAAATGGGGGTTGGAAGACACACACACTTATTACATATTTGCCCTCGTGTAAGAGGGTCCGAATCGATGTCCGAATGTCCGAAATAAACTAACTACTACAAATTCGACTGAATGAATTACATAACTAACTAACTAAGTTGTTACAACAAGGATTTCTAGGATGAGCAACAAGCTAGTAATCTAAGTAAACTAACTATGTAACTACAACAATAATGAGAGCATTAATTTACAATTTACAAAGGAAGCACAAGGATGGCATGCACGTGACAGTTTCAGAAGCAGCTCTGTCTGCCTTCCTTGGAATCTACTTTGTTTCACCTTCAGCCACTACCCCATGTTTCTGTAAAAACACACTGTGTACCAAACATTGAGGGTCGGTTGGCCTCCAATGAGGCCCGGCCGGGCCCAGATAAGGCCGGTCATGCCCTA